TTTAAGGAAAATGCAAATTAAAAGAGGAAATAGAGCAAAAGTAAAAAGGATTTACCCTTTTATGTGGAAGCAATTAGTGCAACATTGATGGGAAATTGTGATCGTGCATCGTGTGGATTTGTGTCACTCGAATGAGATTCATTGCATTGTCTACCGACGACATTGTTTATTTACTAGTATGATGTGGCAATATAATTCTTCTATATGTGTGTAATTATTCATACAGTAAGTAGTGCATTTCATTATTTACAATAGGTAAGTAACTTGATTTCTTTTTTATTTCCACTGTGCTGGAAATCCAAAACAAGCTGTTATAATTAGCTTGCAGCCTAATAACGGAACCATCATTTTTAATACAGTGCCACAAGGTCTCCTGCATCTCTTTTGTTGACGTTGTCCATTACATTTCCTCATTTGCCACTTTCTCCAGCCTGCTGTTTTTTAACATCACATGATCCGAGCTAATCAGACTTAACAATGTGACTGCTTTGTCACAGCAACGATATCACTTTCACTCCTGCAACTGGAGCTGCTTTGATTCCTGCTGAAAGGGGAACACATAGAGTTGTGTTTATCCTTTTGTCTCTTTCCTCTGATGTACTCTACTCTGCTTGCCACTTTATCTCCTGTTCACTCTCAGGTGCCACCAACAGCTAAATGAAAAGAGACAAAACATGATTTTGATTGGGGAAAACATGTAACTCTTCATTTTAAAGGGGGTGGGAGTATTTGAAATGACTCTAATTGGTCCAAAAGGCTTTTGAATCGACATACAGCGCATCATTGTCCTGGTATCATGCTGCTGATCAACAGTCAGTTTTGCCCTGATGTGATGAATATGCCCTTTGGCAGACATGTGTATCTGGTCATGTGTAGAGAGTCCCCTCAAGGTTGTCCTCTCTTTACACCCCATTCTGTATATTCAAAGAGGCTGTGAGAGGAGGTTTGATGAAAAGATAACAAGCTAGGGCGAGATTACTTCTTCAAGGCCCTGAAAGGTTTTAACATCTATAATCCCTGGAGCTTGAAAGACCTTTTACCTATAAAGTGCTGATATTATCTTGGCCACACTGCGTCAGCCAAACAGACTTAATTCAGCTGAGGATAAATAGTGTCCACCTCAGGACGAATTGTAATGACTTTGGTGATCATAATCAAAATGTAAATGATTTCAGCGCTTTGGTTTATGACCAAATACTTGCAAAACGTATGACATTCCTATCATTATCAGCTATACTTAAAACATTATACCTGCTCAGCATGTTCGTATGATGATGTTAGCATGTAGACATACATCGGTACAGCATCAGAGCAGTTAACATGTCTCTGGACTCTGTTTTCCTTACTTCGTCCATTAACTTCTGAAACAGCTTTTGTCTTGATTATGCAAATCATTATTGTATTAATTTCCAGTTGTAAATCGAGGTCCTAATTCAACTTTAGCCGCGCTCCTCCACCAATATTAGCGCCACGATACAACGCTCATGTGGAACACAAGCTTTTTTTTTTACTTCATTGTTATTATCAGATTTGTTCATAGGCTATCCTAAAAACATGATTAAATATGGACATAATATGGGAGCCCTAACTAACTCTTTCTTTCCATCTGTGAAACAGCTGGAGAGAAAAAAAAAAAGTAAAAAGTAAAAAATTTGCCACGATCATTTTCCTCAACTTTTTCTCCAAAACTGTTTCACAGGTGAAAACAAAAGTGCTACGACCGTTTAAAGATGATCCTGGTAAAACCGTTTTCACCTGGTCATAAACACAGGAGAGAGAGGAGTCAGTCTTAGAAAATATAACACCACGTTTTTTTCCTCACTTGCCTCTCAGGGCTTCTGTCTTTATTTAGACACGTCGTCTGTGTCTGTTTGCCGTTCTCTCGTGCTCACCTGCCTTTCCACACACACTCACACACTTACACTTATTTGGCTACGGTGATGAATGCATTCATGAACGACCTTCTCCTTTGGTTTTATGTTGCATTTGTCTTTGTTTTCACAAGTGTGTAGATTATTTAAAACTTGATCTTTTATTCTACGTTGGCAGCAACACTCAAAATACATCTTTATTTCCATTGTAACCTTTGGTGGCATTGCAAGAGCAGAGGATGAAAGATTGGTATTATTTGTCTATAAATCAAGATGAAAATTGCCCCCTTCTACAAATTGCTGAATATAAAGTTGACATATTCACATTATAGCAGTTGATTTGGTATTGTGAGCTACACCGTTTCTTTCCCTGGCAGTTTATTTTGAAGGAAACAGGACAAAGCTTAATGAATTACGCTGTGTCTGTCTTTTGTTCATGAGAATGAATAATGCATCGATTGCCAGCATTACGGAGCTTGTATCAATAACTGAAAGATATTGACCACAGAGGAGTTTTTGTATGCTGTCTGTTATTCACACAAGTTCACGTCTTGTCCTTCAAATTGCTTCTGTCTTTCTTGTCCTCTTTTGTGTCCCCCATGCATCACTCTTCAGCCTCTGCAGTTATTTATTTTGCTTGACAAGAACGCCAACAAAAGACAAAAGCATACAGGAAGTTACAGTACCTGAGAAGAAATTGTATGGCTGGCTTGGAGACCGATATTGAAAGATACTGGCAGGCTTTGCAGCGGTCATTAGTATAATCTTACATGTTAAGATTGTTTAGTATGAAGACCAACACCATTATATTCATGTCAGTCGATACATGTGTCAGTTTGTTTCAACTGTAAGTAATTCCCATGTAAGCAAATGTCTGTACTGTAGTCCAATGATGGCTTCACTCTGATCCTGTAATTTGGCTCCCCTGGAACACCATCATAGCTAACTTGAGCCACTGTTTCTTGGCTACCGTGATCAGCGTTAGAGCCAAAATATTACCAAAATACTATCACTCATGCCGGAAGCAACTATCAAAAGCCACAATGAGTGTAGAAGGCCTTTCCGTGGCTCAACACATTCATATGAATGTAATTGTTTCGTCTCTTGCATCCATCTGTCCACCTACCATGAAGTCTTTTTTACCATTACTGAGGCTGGAGAGCATGTGGATCTCAGAGGCCCTATCAGTGGAGAAACAGGCAGATAGTGTGGTTTTCTCACTGTAATCCCCAGGAGTCTGTTCTGTTAGAATTGAGGAGGAGGGACTGTGAGATTCCCTGTCACTGGATCTGTCCAGCCAGTCGGCTGGCTACAAAGTCTAATAAAGACAGTGACCTCACCCCTTACTGTTATTGTATTTTTTTTCTAGACTGATCACAGCACGCGGTGTGTGCGTATCTGTGAATGTGTCTGTTTGTGTGTGTGTGTGCTTTCCAGTGGGAATGCTCTTTAGATACCTGTGTATTTGTGTTGAAGGTTGTTTCAGTGTGTGTGTGATCCACAATCGTGTCGTTCAATCTTATTGTCAGAAAAAGAGGAGGGGGCGGGAAGAAGCAAATCCAAGCTATGGAATTGATGTAAAGCAAGACAAGCTTGACCCCTATGTCATTGATGCCATATACTGTATCTTGACAGCCTGTCCATTACCCAACTCTTCACTCCCTCAGCACTTCAATTACAGTCTAGTGGATGGGCTAACCTTGCAGATGAGGGGGTACGTGTAGGTTAAATGACATAAGTTGATGATGAGGGCTGTGCTTATCGGGCCTTATTTTGGTTATCAATCAGTGTCTGAAGTAAATCACAATGCCAGCTGTGCACGAGGATGGATCATTGGCTGTGAATTTATGATACGAAATCCCGTCTTATGATTATTGGCCAATGCTTTTTTCACTAACATAATGTCACTTACAGTTACGTGGACGCAAATGATTTCAAGTACAAGTCGAAGCAAGAGCCCGCTATCACTTTAAATGGACTACATCATTCATGCAGCAGGGCATGTTTAGGATTTTTTTTTTTTTTTTTTTTTTTTTTACTCCTACCAAGGAAGTTTTACGTGTGATTGTCTCCACCCATCTGTTTGCTTATCTGTTTGTCTAACAACAACATGTTGAAACTCAAGGCTGGACTGGGATTGAATTTTCTGTGCACATTAACAATCTCAAGAGGAAGGATTCTCATTGGTTTCGCGACCCTGCAGCCTTCCCTGTTGCACAGGCCCAAACTTCAAGTTTCAAATGAATGTGGCTTCCAGCTCACGTAGTCTCAAAGAGGACAATAAACCTACTTACAGTACAATGTTGGCTTTGCACATGTGTTTATGAGGCAGTGGTCTGCCCTCTTCACTTTCTTGTTTGTCATGTTTCTATGTTTTGTTTAGTTTTTCAGTTTTGTGCCTCAAAGTCCAATGGTTTTAGTTGAATATCAAAAGCAATATAAATTAAAATACGTTGTTGTGTTATACAGTAGTGAAAACAGAAGGTCTTTCAATCAACTCTATTCACTAAATTCCGTCAATGTTGTGGTGAGTTGATACATTGCCTGAGATGAATGAATTGTGAGGCGGCAATTCAAAAATATTCATCTTGACATAGATCAAAGTGTTAGACTTTCTGACTTCAACATATAACTTTTAATTAAATGTTTGTTTTTTTTCTTTTCCGAGACCAGTTGCTTTTAAAGACCTATATAGAGTATGTTCAATAAGACTAAACCCTTAACAGCAACCAAAACATGGTACTGCATCCATGTTCCTGTCCCGTCTGATCCCTTAAGACACTGCTTACTGTTTGAAGTCTCCACTTGAAAGGCCCGATCTAAATACTGTGGATTCCACAGCAACTCTGCAAGCGGTGATTACAGACTGATTAATGAGCCGCACGCACACTGTACCCACACGTTTACACATGCCTGCTTTCTAGGCCACACACAAATGGATTATGCAGGAGTCAGTATGTCACAACATATAGTCTAACTCAGTCATTGGTTGTTTTATTATGTAAACTTCAACAAAGCTGATAGGTGTTGTTTTTGATCATTTCCCGTGACTGGAAACCTGTCAATGAGCCCAGCGTGCCTTAATTGTGGTTAATTTATTATATATCTTTTCTTTCATTTTTCCCACAGTGTCGGCTGAGATCTTGAATAGCAGTTTATCCACCATGGAACGTCACATTCAGAGGCTTGAGAACGACATCAAGAACTTCCCCAAAACGGATGACCAACAAGATAAGTTCGTGGAAAAGATGACGATATCCTTTTTTATGGTGGTCGTTTTAACACCTTGAATAGTTTTCTACTTAAATTTGCTCCACAAAAGCAAATGTATTCTGGTATATTAAGGCATTGTGTGTACCATTTTTTGTGGACAGCAGTGGCAAACGAGTGTGCTGTTTGTGTTCTGCCTGGCGGTGGTAAGCAGTTTGAGTCACTTGGTGTGATAGGTGGCACCCAAGGGAACGTAGGGAATGGATCTGGCTGCCTTGCTATGAGATGTTGATCGGATCTCCCCCTTCACTCCTCCCTGTGTCCCAGGAGTGAAATCCTGCCTGTGGCTATTTTTACCGCACTCTGCCACCACTGCCTGTCCCCTGGGAGACTCTAATAGGGGCTCTAGCCCCTCACACCAACTTATCGCCTATCCGTGATTTCATCTCCTGACCGGCCACGAGTCTCTCCCCACAACCATCCGTGCACTATCTCTCATGGCACCTCTCCTGTTTCCATAACAAAGTGTTTCACTTAAAGCCAAGCGTCTCTGCTCCCAAATTGAATTAGCCATGTCTCTGCACTTTCTTGAATGCCCTTTCTGAAAAGAAAGGTCCTCACTGTATAGGTTTGATCAATGGTGGAAATCAAGTTTGTTGTCAATACCCTGAGGCTAGGGTGCCTTTCTTGGGGGGAGGGGGGGACAGTAAAGCAATCAGCAGTGTCTTTTTTGCTCGTCTCCAACACTATTAGGAAAAGAAAGAATTACTCGAGTAATTTAACAAGCGAGTAGGTGTATCCATATGCTAGGCGCCCTCACGCAATATGGCATTTAACCTGATTTTTTGCTTCCTTTTATCTGAGATTTATTAAGGCTGAGTTTGCACATTGGGTGGTTTAAGAGTAATAGCCCCCTAACACATTAACAATCTGCTCCCAGTCAAAGAATGGCACTTAAATTTGTGTAATTAAAAAAAACTGAAGCAGAGACCTCCCTGGCGGCGGCTCGGAGGCAGAGCAGGCAGGCAAGAAAGCTAGTCTGCTCCCCGATGTCAGTATTGATTCCCAGGCTCCTCCGAGAACTAGAGGCTTGAGTGAGAGGAAATGGAGAAGTGAAGATATACTGCAGCATGGCTCTTCCTCACTGTCTGGAGTTCCTCCCCAGAGTGGCAGAGAGCAGCCGACTGGCCGTGACCTGAAACACCCCACTTCCTCCCTCTTTCGCCCCATCCCACCTGATCGAGTTTTTGTGCTAGGACGGAGGCTTAATAGGATTTAATGAGACCTATTTTGGTTACTGCCTTATTTAAAGTAGCCACCACTAGGAAAGCACTGACAAGCATATCTATTTCATTCTCCATCTGCGCTGTGTTCCACTTCCGAGTGTTTTTGTCATGATTAGTAGTTTCCCTTCCCTTGGTTTTTCAAGTGGCAGAATTGCTTTTTAGTTGTACATATTTTCAAATCATAATTTTCACTGTTCTAATTTTTGGGTTGCAGACACATCGAGGCACAGGGAGGATTCAAACAATTTAAAAAGTGCATGCTTGTTTGTTCTCTCAGTTAGCTCCCTATCTGGTGATTTATCTAGATTTCATCTCCTGTTAATAATACGGTGAAATAATTGAAAATAATGTCATAATAACATGGTGTCGGGGGCATTTTACTTCCACTATGTGCTAGTGAGTATGTGGTGTAGCTATTGTGTCCCATGTAGTATATAACAGTTTTATTTTCCATCCAAGTTTTCTTTGTCTTGATGTTCATACTACAATGCATAATAATAGGACACTAGAAGTCTGCAATCACATCTTTCTCAGTGCCTTTGGAGTAGCTGTGCGTCTGTTTGTTACTCCAGGACATTTGTGTTTGTGTATGTAAGTGTGTGTCTCAACTTAACCCACTTTTCTGAAGTCTGTCACCAAGGACAATATTTTCTACTGCCTTAAACCTCCCAAGACATTCAATTTCGGGCTGTTTTCGTGCAAGAGATAGAAAGCCCAGGCTGTGCTTGATTTGCTGAGGTTTTTAGTACCAGTGTTTGCAATGAGCTTAGGTAGCTCTCTAATCTGTGTTGCACAGCAAAGTGTTGGAACAATGACAGTGTGAAATACAGTGCTGTATATTTTTGGTTGACATTTCCTTTGGTACACATAAGATAGCAGAGTCAAGGTAATCATACCTCTTTAAACTTTTCCCTGGGATTAAAAAAAAGGATATTGGTTCCTTGAAGCATGACAGATGGAAGAACAACAACAGCTAAAAGTCATGCATTTGATGCTTGAGCAACCCTGAAAAAGTTAAGTGAAGCTCTGTTGTCTCGACTGCTGGGCTCTGTGATGAATGAGTCAGTCTGGGTTTGTGCGTGTGTGTGTGTTAGAGAGAAAGGGGAAAAGAGTAATCTACAGTGTATGTGTAGGTAAGTACATGTGCCTCTATTTCAGTGACTCTTGTGAGCTTTTTTCCTGAGATTAATTTTAGGGAGGCCATGGTCACTGCAGGGTATTTTAAATGTAATATGTGCCCCAAAGCAGCATAGTTTTAATTAAACCTTCAACAATAAATTACGGTTTAGTTTTTTTCCCACCACGCATGATTAGTGTTCCTAATTTGTTTACGCTTCAGAAATTTCAGGTTTTGCCCATTAAAAAGTCTGATTTATGTCTGGCACAAACAATTTCTGAGAATCTGTCATCTTTATCTGATGTGTTTACCTTTCAGACAAAATCATTCCACAAAGTACTGTGACAAGAACTGTGCAGCAGCAGATAGCAGTTATAAAACACTAAAATATAGAAATATGAGAAGAGAAGATACAGAAAGAAAGAAGTATGGAATGAAAGGAAGAAAGCGGTGAAGAGCTTAGTGGAAGCACTTCATTTGGCTTTATTGATACATTTTTCTCTTTCCATTACTGTAATGTATGCAAATGACTGAATGGGGTGTTTGTTCAGCAGTTTAGTGATCTCAATCTGTCAGAAGTAATGGGAGCCCACAAAGGCTGTAGAGTTGAGGCACAAGCCCCCAGAGAGCTCTATTTCACCAGAGAGGCTATGGCTATCACATGCACATACACGCACACACACACATTCACTATCACACACCCATTTCCAGTTCCTGTTGGATATGATAGAGTAGAGCTGGGGGCTTAGAGCGGCGCTCTGCATACTGGAATATTAATGGTCGAGAGGTGGCTCGATGGGGATGACGAGAGACCGGACTGAACCTTGGGTGCCTGGACATGTCCAATACATCTCCCCCCACTGTACTCAATGCCTTAATTCAACCCACTGATATTTCGCTTAACCTTTTATTTCCCAGAAGGCCAGAGTCAGAGCACATCATTCTCTCCAATTCCCATACATTGAGTGACAAGGAGCTGTCTTCTGGGGCCAGCTTCATTAAGATATATTAGACTGGGCTAACAGATTTAGCCTTAATTTTGTCTCCCAGAGACAGTTTCACACAAATCAAAACTTCGTCTAAGGGTTCGCCACCCGATTCCATCCTGCTAACAGCATAGCAAAGAGTTGCGGTTCAATGGTAACAATCAGTGACACCTGCAGACTTTTAAAAGAGGAACTATTGTGATTTGTGGATGCTAGCAGTGTTTGTTGTAACCCTGACATTTTACGGTCGAGGTTTTCTTGTTTCTAAACATATTCAATGCAACCGTTTACTGACATGTTTCTTTCAATCAAAATAATTAGTTGTTTGCCCCTGTGCATGTGTATGTAGTATAGTTACACAGTCATTGAGTCCCCCCAGTAAAATAGCCTTGTGGAAGGATCCAACAGCTACAAGGACGAGTGAATGGAGCTGAGAGGCTTGAAGCCATTACTCGTGGCCATGTTTTTAGTTTAAAAACTGTTTTAATTTGCTCAGAATTCCAAGCAACGTCCTTAAAATAGTCAAGGACTGGACGGCATTGCCCGACTGATGAGCTTAGATATGTGATAGCTATGTAGCTGAAGTTTATTTGTTAAATCCAAGAAACAGTCTAAGTCTGTCTTTGGGAAACCACCCCCCTAAGAGGGAGGGGGATAATTCCAATATCAAACGCGTCTATCATATTGAAGCCTTCCCTGACAATTTCCTGCCGTCATGAAGAAGCAGCTGTTCAAGCAGCAACACAGATTTACAGTACTTACCTGTTGATGAATAAGAAGCCTCAAGTCCTGTGAGCCTACAAAGCGCACACAACTACCAGTGCCAGTTTCTCACACCAACCTTTTATCCGCCCACACAGGGTCATCCCAGACACACTTTTTCCCAGCCCCTGGGGTATAACCCATAAAACAACCATACCACCTTTTGTGGCTTAAAAATTGACAGATGCATTTATACAGGTACCAGCTTTTTCTTGTTCTCAGATACTTCAGCCTGATTTAGTTCACAGATCAGAGAAAAGGATTCACCACAATGTGTTTATGGATGGCCTCTTTCAAACAGCGATCGTTGTAGACTCTGTTGACTTCAGGCTAGGTTTGTGTACAGGTGTACACAGCACACTCTTGTTTCGGCACCAGGCACTTAAGGTTAAATAAATGGTTGTTAGTGAAACAACTGTTCTATTTAGCAGGCTGCTGAGTTTAAACTGCGGAAACATCCCCTGCTACTGGCTTGTTTTGTCTGGAGGAGCACAGTGTTGTTATTCCTCTCCATCACACCTTTATGTGTTTGAATGAGAGGTAAATCAGATTATTTACAGAATCTTCATGTTTATTTCTGAATGTTTGTGGATTAGAAAAACTGGGTTAAATCATGCTGGTGGCACTTTCAGTTGCACATTAGAATTTTTAAAGCACAAGTACACAAACACCCACCCCCTTGCCACACACAAGTTTTCTCTCCTAATCGCCACCTTCCTTTTAGCCCCCCACCTCCCCCCCCAACCCGCAGTGTTTTCCTCCACTAATGAAATTCACTGTGTACTGTGTGGCCAATTAACTGAAGCACAGATAAACCACGGAGCCTTTTAATTATCAAAATTAGAAGAAACCAGTGTAAATAAGTAAAGGTGCATAACGCAGGCTATTTGGCT